AACTAATACCTCAACTTCCTCAGCATCAAACATACTTGATATTCCCCCCTACACCAACTAATCCCTTCCCTCCCTAGGCAAAAAAACCAACCTCCCCCCCCACAACCCCAACGGCCCATCACCAGACCCCCCACACCACATCCACCCCCCGCCCCACTCAATCCACCCCCCTCCAAACCCCCCTCAACCTCCACCTCCACCCCCCCCCCCGAACCCCCACCCCAAAATCCCAAAAACCTATCACCCACCACTCCCCTCCCCCTCAAACCTAACCTCCCCACCACCACCCCCCTACCCCACCCCCCCACCACCCACCGGGGGGACAAAAAAAACACAAACCACGACCCACCCCCCACCACCAAACCAGCCACCCCACCAACCCAACCCCCCACCACCATACCTCCACAACACCCCACCCACACCACCCCACAAACCCCCAACCCACCCCCCAAACCCCCCCCCACCACCCACCCACGACCACCTTTCCCCCAAAACACCACCCAACCCCCCAGCCCACCCCCCCCGGACCCCAAACAACCCACCCACACCAAAAACAACCCCACCACCACCCCCAAACCCCCCAAAGCAAAAAACACCGCACCACCACCCCCCTCAACCCCCCTCAATCAAAAAACCAAAAACACCACCTCCCCCACCACCCAACACCTCCACCACCACCACCACCACCCCACCACCACCTCCTCACACCACCATCACCAACGACCACCCCAAACCACCACCACCCAACCACACCACACCAACAACCTTACCACAACACACACCACCAAACACACCCCAACCCCCCACCACCACACCTCCACCTCACCACACCACCCACACCACCCCACTCCACCTCCACCACCACCACACCACCCAAAACCCACCTCCAACCACCACACCCCCTCCATCACCACCTCCACCTCCACCACCACCACCAATTTCCACCACCACCCACCACCACCACCACAACCCCCACAACCACCACCAACCCCACCCCCAAACACCACATCCACTCCCCCTCTCATAAGGCAGGTCAAGTCTCTCCTCCCAGGGGAGTCTGGACCCGAGGAGAAGGCCTTTGCTGGTATGGAGAGCTGTTTGTGTTGGCTGGGACTTAAAGTGCGTAACCTTAGAAGTTAAAATAAGTATATGCCTAGCATTTAAAATAAACACAGACACAGTCTACAATCCAATCAATCAGTGTGGGGGCACACACTTCAGATTCATACCTTATAGTGGTAACCCTAAACACACGCGCACACACTAAAGCCATAAAACCTATCTTGTTTTGGGCATTGCAGAGAAACTGGCATGACCTCAAGTAGCATGGCCTTAGTGAAACCTTCTTTATCCATTTTTACCATGGAGAACCCCAGGCTGTGGAGAAAGCAGGCTTTGGGGAGGGATTGGGGTATGAAGTATGAGAGTGGTAAACTGGGGTTTTTTTAAACCCTACAACGAAACACCAGGCAGGGGGGCGATGCAGACCTGCAGGGTTTGAATAGATTACATCTTTTAAATACTTTAGTTGTGCTTGAACGAGCTTCCCAGGTGCAATAGAAATCAAAGGAATAGCCCTGAAAATGTGAACCCCACACAGCCAGGGTGATGTCAGACAGCTAAAACAACAGGGAGGGCCTGGCCTTAAACACAGCCAGGGTGATGTCAGACAGCTAAATCAACAGGGAGACCTGGCCTTAAACACCCGCCAGGGGTGATGTCAGACAGCTAAATCAAACGGGAGACCTGGCTTAAAAAACGCCAGGGTGTGATGTCAGACAGCTAAATCAACAGGGAGGGCCTGGCCCTTTAAAAAACAGCCAGGGTGGGTGTCAGACAGCTAAATCAACAGGGGAGACCTGGCCTAAAACACAGCCAGGGTTTATGTCAGACGCTAATCAACAGGGAGACCTGGCCTAAACACAGCCAGGGGTGTCAGACGCTAAATAACAGGGGACCTGGCCTTAAAACAGCCCGGGTGAGTCAGACAGCTAAATCAACAGGGAGACCTGGCCCTGAAACACAAAAAAAACCGGCGGGGTGATGTGTCAGAGGCAGAGCAACAAGTTAGTGCAGAACGTGGGTTTAACTGCGTCCCAAATGCTCCATTCCATTAGGCACTTTTAAATCCTGACTATCCATTAATCGGTAACCCTCCAGGACTGTGGTAAAAACAAAAAGCATCTGATATCCATTAATATACTGTAATCCCCAGACTGTTTATCTCTACTATCCATTATTACTGTAACCCTCCAGACTGGTGTATCTCTGACTATCCATTATATAACCTGTATCCCATAGGACTGGTGTATCGTCTGACTAGCCATTATTATCTGTAAACCCTCCAGGACTGTTGTATCTCTGACTACCATTATTCTGTAACCCCTCCAGACTGGTGTACTCTGACGTATCCAGATATACTGTAACCCTCCAGGACTGGTGTACCTCTGACTAGATCCATTGATTACTGTAACCCTCCCAACCCTCCAGGACTGGTGTATCTCTGACTATCAATTATTCTTTAACCCCCAGGAGCTGTGTAATCTCTGAAAAACTATCCTTAGTATACTGTCCCCTCCAGACTGTGTTATCTCTGACTTACCATTATTACGTTAACCCTCCAGACTGGTGTATCGCTGACTATCCATTATATACTGTAACCCTCCAGGACTGGTGTATCCTGATTATCCTTATATACTGTAACCCTCCAGGACTGGTGTATCTCTGACTATCATTATATACTGTAACACCCTGCCAGGACTGGTGTTCTCTGACTATCCATTATGTACTGTAACCCTCCATGCTGGTGGTATCTCTTACTATCCATTCTATAACTGTAACCCTCCAGGACTGGTGTATCTCTGACTATCCATTATTACTGAACCCTCCAGGACTGGTGTATGTCTGACTAATCCATATATACTGTAACCCCCAGGGACTTGTGTAACCCTCTTGACTATCCATTAGTACTGTAACCCTCCAGGATGGGGGGTAGTATCTCTGACTTCCATTATTACTGTAACCCTCCAGGACTGGTTTATCTCTGACTATCCTTAATACTGTAAATTCCAGGACTGGTGTGCGTCCATCACTGACATCCCATTATATACGGAACCACTCCAGGACTTGGTGTATCTCTGACTAGATCCGTTATTACTGGTAAACCCTCCCGGACTGGTGTATCTCCTGACTATCCATTATAGCTGTAACCCTCCAGAACTTTTTATCTCTGACATCCATTATTACTGTAACAACCCTCCGGACTGGTGTATCTCTGACTATCCTTATATACTAACCCTCCATGACTGGTGTACCATTCTGACTATCCATTATTACTGTACTGGAACCCTCCAGGACTGTTGTACCGTCTGACTATCCATTATTACTGTACCCCTCGCAGGACTGGTTAATCTCTGACATCCTTATATAATGTAACCGCTCCAGGACTGGTGTTCGCTACTACCATTATTACTGTAAAACCAACCACCCTCCATGACTGTGTATCCTCTGACTATCCATTATATAATGTTAACCCGCCATGACTTTGGGTATCTCTGACTAGCCCTATATCACTGTAAACCTCACCGGGTCCCAGGACTGGTGTGCTCTGACTATCCATTCTATACTGTACCCTCCAGGAACTGATGTATCCTGACTATCCCGTATATACTGTAACCCTCCGACTGGTGGTATCTCTGACTATCCATTATATACTTACACCTCCAGTCCTGGTGTACCTGACTATCCAGTATCCTGTAACCCGCCAGGAATGGTACGTCTACTATCCATTATATACTGTACCCTCCAGGACTGGTTTATCTCTGTCCTAGCCATTATTACTGTAACCCTCCAGACTGGTGTATCTCCTGACTACCATTATTACTGTAACCCTCCAGACGGTGTATCTCTGACTATCCATTTATTACTGTAACCCTCCGGACTGGGTTGTATCTCTGACTATCCATTATATACTGTAACCCTACGGACTGGTTGGTATCTCTTGACATCCATTATATACTGTAATCATCCCCCAGGACGGTGTCTCTCTGACTATCCATATTACTGTAACCCTCAGAGACTGGTGTTACCCTGACTATCCATTATATACTGTAACCAACCCTCCAGTACTGGTGTAATCTCTGACTATTCCATTAATACTGAATCCCCCAGGACTGGTGTATCCCTGACTAGCCAGTATTAACTGTAACCCGTCCAGACTGTTGTATCTCTGACTAATCCTCTATACTGTAACCCCATCCAGGACTGGTGTATCTCTGACTATCCATTCTATACTGTAACCCTCCAGACTGGTGTGATCTCTGACTAGCAATTTAGACTGGAATCCCCCAGGACTTTGGTGGATCTCTGACTATTCCATTATATAACTGTAACCCTCCAGGACTGGTGTGTCTCGACTATCCATATACTGTAACCCTCCAGACTGGTGTAAATCTCTGACTATCCATTATAATACTGGAACCCTCCAGGACTGGTGTATCTCTGACGATCCTTTATATACTGTACGCCTCCAGGACTGTGTATCTCTGACTATCGTTAATTACTGTACCCTCCAGTACGGTGTATCTCTGCCTATGCCATTACTACTGTAACCCTCCGGACTGGTTATATCTCTGACTATCCATTATATACTGTAGATCCCCCAGGATGGTGTATCTCTGACCTATCCTATAACTGTAACCCTCCAGGACTGGTGTGTCTCTGACGATCCATTATTTACTGTCCCCTCCAGGATGGGTGTATCTCTGAACTATCCATTATATTACGGTATCCCTCCAGACTGGTGTATCTCCGACTACCATTTATACTGTAACCCTCCAGACTGGTGATATCTCTGCTTATCCATTATATCCTGTAACCAACCCTCGCAGACTGTTGTATCTCTGACTATCCATTACTACTGTAACCCTCCTGACTGGTATATCTCGACTATCCATTATATACTGTAACCCTCCAGAACTGTTGTAATCTCTGACTACCATTTATCTGTACCCCTCCAGGACTGGTGTTCTCTGACTATCCATTATTACTGTAACCCTCCAGGACTGGTGTCGCCTGACATCCATTATTAACTGTAAAGCCCTCCAGACTGGTTGTATCTCCTGACTACCAAATCTGTAACCCTACCACCCCCCAGGAACTGTTTATCTCTGACTATCCATTATTACTGTAACCCTCCAGGACATGGTGTATCTCTGAATATCCCTTATATACTGTAATCCCCCCATGACTGGTGATCTCTTACTATCCATTATTACTGTACCCCTCCAGGACTGGTGTATCTTGACTATCCTATATACTGTACCCCATGGACTGGTGTAATCTCTGACTCAATCCAGTTTACCAATTATTGACTGTACCCCTCCAGGGAACTGGTGTATCTCGATATCCATTATTCCTGTAAACCTTCCATGACTGGGTTGTGTATCTCTACTATCCATTATAATATGTACCCTCCGGACTGGTGTATCTCTGACGGTCCATAATAGACTTTGTACCCTACCCTCCCGGCCTGGTGTATCTCTGACTATCCAGTAGTACTGTAACCCCCCAGGACTGGTGTATCCTCTGACTATCCATTTATATACTTAACCCTCCAGGACTGGTGTATATCTGACTACTCCAATTATTCTGTAAACCCACCGCTCCAGGACTGGTTTATCTCTGACATCCATTATATACTGTAATCCCTCCGGACTGGTGATCTCTGACTATCCATTATTCTGTAACCCTCCAGGACGTGGTGTATATCTGATCTCCATTATATACTGTACCCTTCTCCATGACTGGGGTGGTAGCTCTGACTACCAGTATTACTGTAACCTGCCCGGACTGGTGTATCTCTGACTATCCATTATTACTGTAACACCAGGACTGGTGGGTATCTCTGACTATCCATTAATACTGAAACCCGCCATACTGGTGAATTCTCTGACTATCCCGTAGGCTGTAACCCTCCAGGACTGGTGGAGCTCTACTATCCGAGTTATTACTGTAAACCCTCCAGGACTGGTTTATCTCTTCGCCTATCCATTATCGCTGTAATCCCCCGGACTGTGTGTATCTCTGACTTCCATATTAACTGTAACCTCTCCGGACTGGTGATCCTCTGACTATCCTTATAGACTGTAACCCCAGGAACTGGTATGTCGCTGACTATCCAGTATTACTGCACCCTCCAGGATGGGTGTCTCTCTTCTATCCTTATATACTGTAACCCTCCAGGACTGTTGTACCTCTGACTAAGCCATTATTACTGTAACCCTCCAGGACGGGTGTAGCTCTGACTATCCATTATATACTGTAACCCTCCAGGACTGGTGTTATCTCATCGCGGATATCGCCATTATATAGCTGTAACCCTCACAGGACTGGTGTATCTCTCACTATCCATTAGGGTACTGTAACCCTCCAGGACTGGGTAGTATCTCTGGACTATACCAGTATATCTGACCCTCCAGGACTGGGTATATCTCACGTATCCATTATTACTGAACCCTCCAGGACTGGTGTATCTCTGACTAATCCATTATATACTGTAACCCTCCCCAGTACTGGTGATCTCTGATATCCATTATTACTGTAAACCCTCCAGACTGGGTATCTCTGACTAGCCATTATATACGGAACCCTCCCTTACTGGTGTAGCTCTGACTATCCATTATTACTGTACCGACCCCCCAGGAACTGGTGTTATATCTAACTACCATTTATTATACTGGACCCCTCCGGACTGTGTATCTCTGACTATCCATTCTATACTTGTAATAACCCTCCAGGACTGGCGTTTCAGTCAGGCCTCGTCTCTGACATCACCTACATTTCTGTGGAAGAGCGTCCCCTCATGTAGATCTCCCTGCACTACTATTGCAGGCTACCCCTCTCGTTAAGCGCTCTCAGCATTGATGAACGCGCCTCCGCTCATACATGTTGGACGCGTTGCGCCCCCTAACTGACGGATATACCGTTAAAAACCGCCTCCGTCACCCTAGGTGTAATCTCTCTGGACGATCCATTATAAACTGTAACCCTCATGACTGGTGTAGCTCTGACCTATCCATGATTATCGTAACCCTCCAGGACTGGTGTCCTCTGACTATCCATTATGAACAAATACCTAGCCAAGAAGACACCCTCGGCCCCATAGCCGGGGAACCATCGGCTAGATTAATAGATGCGGCTGCGTGCAATGAATGCACTGACTATCCATCTAGCTTAATCACGCTGCATCCACACTCTCGGGAACACACGGCGACGCGCGTGGGGGTTGGATTCTGTCAGCTACTAGACTCCAGGTGAGATGTTGATAACGGAGTAGACGTCCGACATGGTGGTCTGTCGGATAAGGGGCTAATACACTTACGAGTCGGACTAGCCAGGATTACTGAGGGTCATCCGCCCCTCCAGCACTGAGGCGTACGCGTTAGTAACTCAGTCGACGAGCCTGAGAGACGGGAACCCTCAGGAACGGGGGGAGCGCGGACGATACATGAGATACTGGTAACCCCTCCAGGACGGGGGGGAGCGCGGACGAGCCATGATCGACGGTAACCCGCCAGGACGGGTAGGCCGTTGGACGAGCCAGTAGGACGGGAACCCTCCAGGGGACTGAGGTATCTCTGACGAGCCATTATAATACTATCCAGAGTCATCGCGGCCCTGCTCCCACCTCCCAGGGAGACCCGCAGGTATCTCTGACTATACCATATACCTGCCTCCAGGGTGCGTAATTATTATAGCACTTGAGAAGCCCACTCAACTGACGCGCCGTGACCTGGGAGTCTATTCTGCCAGGCGGCGCGCTGTGCGAGACAGATACTCCATCGCATTAATATAACGTCGTTGTTGACTGCTGCCCACTTACACAGCAACGATGCTATAGACGCGGTGATTCGCGGCGGACGCGCTGGGACTATCCATGCTATACTGTAAGCCCCCGGACGGGTGTAACTCTGACTAGCCAGAGGACTGTAACAACCCTCCAGGAGAAGTCTGGTGTTGGAATCTGTGGCATATCTTACATCATCGTCTCGGATGCTCCCACTTGCCCAGTAGTGCTGTCCTCTGGTAGCGGTAACATTCCTAGCGACTTACACAAAGGGTTACTGGTATACGATCATCAGTGCCAGTCTGAACAGCTTGTCAGTCCCTGCATGTAAAGATCCTAAAGGGACTAAACTCCTCCAGATGACCTGGTGTATCTCTGACTATTCCCACTTGACCGGCTCAGTCTGTCCTCTTGCAGTGTACCCTCCAGGACTGGGGTAGGCTCCAGTGACGATCCATTATATACTGTAACCCGCCAGACTGGTGTAATCTCTGACTCTCCTTAGAGACTGGAACCCTCCCGACGGTGTAGCTCTGACTATCCATTATTACTGTAACCCTCCAGGACTGGTGTATCTCGACTGCCATATATACTGTAACCCTCCAGGACTGGTGTACCTCTGACTATCCTTATATACTTGTAACCCCCAGGACTGGTGTATCTCTGACTATCCATTATAATACTGTAACCTCCCAGGACTGGTTTATCTCTGACTATCCATTATTAACTGTATAACCCTCCAGGACTGGTGTATCTCTGACTATCCTTATATACTGTAACCCTCCAGACTGGTGTACCGCTGACTATCCATTATATACTGTAACCCTCCAGGACTGGTGTATCTCTGACTATCCATTAGATACTGTCCTCCAGACTGGGGTATCTCTGACTTGCCATTATATACGTACCCCTCCAGGACTGGTGTATCTCTGACTTCCATTATATCCTGTAACCCTCCAGACTTGGGTATCTTCTGCTATCCATTAAATCTGTAACCCTCCAGACGGTGTAATCGGTCTGACTATCCATTATTACTTAACCCTCGCAGACTGTGTATCTCTTAATATCCATTAATACTGTAACCCCAGGACTGGTTGTGAATCCTGACATCCATTATTACTGTAACCCTCCTACTTGGTGTTCTCTGACTATCCATTATCACTGTCACCCTCTCTCGCACGGGTGTATCTCTGACTATCCATTATATACTGTACCCTCCCGGACTGGTGTATCTCTGACTATCCATTATTACTGAACCCTCCTGGACGGTTGTAGCTCGAATCGCATTATTACTGTAACCCTCCAGGACTGGTGTGATCTCTGAACTATCCTATTATATACGTAACCCTCCGGACTGGTGTTCTCTGAACTATCCATTATATACTTACCCCTCCATGACTTTGTATCTCTGACTATCCATTATATACTGGGAAACCCCTCTCAGGCCTGGTGATCTCTGACTATCCATATATACTGTAACCCTCCATTACTGTGTATCTCTGCACTAGCCATTATATACTGTACCCTCCTGGACTGGTGATCTCTGACTAATCCATTATCGACTGTCACCCTCCAGGACTGGTGTACTCCTGACTATCCATTATATACTGTCACCCTCCAGACTGGTGTATCTCTGACTATCCATTATAGCTGTAACCTCCAGGACTGGTGTATCTCTGAATATCCATTATATACTGTAACCCTCTCCAGACTGGTGATCTCTGACTATCCCATTATTACTGTAACCTCCAGGACTGGTGTATCTCTGACTAGTCCATTATATACTGTAAACCCCAGACTGGTGTAGTCTCTCTGACTATCCATATAACTGTAAACCCTCCAGGAACTGTGATTCTCTGACATCCATTATTGACTGTAACCCTCCAGGACTGGTGTATCTCTGACTATCCATTATTACTGTACCCCTCCATGACTGTGTCATCTCTGACTATCCCTTATATACTTTAAACCCTCCAGGACTGGTGTATCTCTTACTATTCCATTTACTGTAACACTCCATGACTGGTGATCTCTGACTATCCATTATATACTGTAAACCCTCCAGCCTGGTTACCTCTGACTAATCCATTAATCCTGTTAACCCTCCAGGAACTGGGTGTATCTCTGACTATCCATTATACTGTAACCCTCCATGACTGTGTACCTCTTACTATCCATTTATTACTGTAACCCTCCAGACTGGTGTATCTCTGACTATCCATTATATACTGTAACCCTCCAGACTGGTGTAACTCTTACTATCCCTTATATACTGTAAACCCTCCAGGACTGGTGTATCTCGACTATCCATTATATCATGTAACCCTCCCGGACTGGTGTATCTCTGACTATCCATTATTCCTGTAACCCTCCAGTACTGTGTCATCCTCTGATCTATCCATTATATACTGTACCCCTCCAGACTGGTGTATCTCTGACTAATCCCAGTTATATACTGTAAACCTCCGGACTGGTGTATCTCTGACTATCCATTATATACTTAAACCCTCCAGGACTGGGTGAAGTCTCTTCTGACTATCCATTATATACTGTAACCCTCCAGGACTGTTGTATCTCTGACTATCCATTTAATTACTGTAACCCCCAGGACGGTGTATCTCTGCTATTCCATTATCCTGTAACCCTCCCGGACTGGTGTATCTCTGACTATCCATTATATATTGTAGACGCCTCCTGGACTGGTGTATCTCTGACTATCCATTTATCTGTAAAACCCTCCAGGACTGGTGTATCTCTGACATCCATTATAATACTGTAACCCTCCAGACGGTGTATCCTCTGACATCCATTATTATACTGTTACCCTCCATGACTGGTGTAATCTCTGACTATCCATTTATATACTGTAACCCTCCAACCCTCCAGGACTGTTGTATCTCTGACATCGCTATGATACTGTAAACCCGCCTGGAACTGGTGTAAGCTCTGACTATCCTTATATCTGTAACCCTCCAGACGTGTGTATCTCTGACTATCCAGTATATACTGGTACCCTCCAGGACGGGTTATCTCTGACTATCCCATTATATAAACTATATAACCCTCCTGGACTGGTGTATCTCTGCCTACCTTATATACTGTGAACCCTCCAGGACGGTTTATCGCTGACATCCATTATATACGTAACCCTCCAGGACTGGGGTAATCGCTGACCCTATCCTTATATAACTGTAACCCTCCAGGACTGGTTTAACTCTGACTATCCATTATATAACTGTAACCCTCCAGACTGGTGGTATCTCTGACTAATCCATTATATACTGTAACCCTCCAGGACTGGTGTATCTCTGACTATCACATTATTAATTTAACCCTCCAGGACTGGTGTATCCTGACTATCCATTCTGTATGTAACCCTCCAGGACTGGTGGTATCTCTGCCTAATCTATTTAATTACTGAACCCTCCATGACGGTGTAAATCTCTGATATCCATTATATACTGTAACCCCCTCCGGACTGGGGATCTCTGATATCCATTAGAACTGTAACCCGCCCTCCGAACTGGTGGGCTCTCTACTACCATTTATACTGTAACCCTCCAGACTGGTGTTTCGAACTATCCATTATATACTGTAACCCTCCAGGACTGTGTAATCTCTGGCTATCCCTTATATACTGAACCCTCCAGGAACTGGTGTTTCTTCTCTGACTCTCATTATGATATGAACCTTCCTGGCTGGTGTACGTCTGACTATCCAGATATACTGTAACCCTCCAGGACTGGTGTATCTCTGACCTATATCCATTATAACTGTAACCCCACCAGGACTGGTTTATCTCTGACTAATCCATATATACTGTAATCCCTCCAGGACTTGGTGTATCTCTACTATCCATTATATACTGTCACCCTCCAGTACTGGTGTATCTCTGACTATTCCATTATATAACGGTAAACCCTCCAGGACTGGTGTAGCTCTGACTATCCATTTATACTGTAAACCTCCAGGCCTGGTGTATCTCTGGACTATCCATCTATACTGTAACCCTCCAGACTGGTGTATCTCTACTACTCCATTATTACTGTACCCCCCCGGCTGGGGTGTATCTCGGACTATCCATTATATACTGTACCCTCCAGGACTTGGTGTATCTCTGACTTCCATTAATATCCGTAACCCTCCAGGACCTGTGTATCTCTGACTACCATTATTACTGTAACCCTCCAGACTGGTGTAAACTCTGACTATCCTTAATACTGTCACCCTCCAGGACTGTGGTGTAATCTCTGGACTATCCATTATATACTGGGTAACCACTGTAACCCCCCAGGACTGATGTATCTCTGACTATCCATTATATAACGGTAACCCCCAGACTGGTGTATCTCTGAACTATCCTTATGACTGTAACCCTCCAGACTGGTGTAATCGCGACTATCCATTATATACTGTAACCCTCCCGGACTGGTAGTATCTCTGACTATCCATTATAATAATACTTACCCCTCCAGGACTGTGGATATCTCTGACTATCCATTATGAACGAACCCTCCCAGGAATGGGTGTATCTCTTACTATCCATATATACTGTAACCCTCCAGGACTGGTGTATCCTATCTCTGACTATCCATTAGTATAATGGCTGTAACCCTCCAGGACTGGTTATCTCTGACTACCATTATTATGTACCCTCCAGGACTGGTGTATCTCTAACTATCCATTATATACTATAACCCTCCAGACTGGGGTATCTGTATCTTCTGACTATCCATTATTACTGTAACCCGCCAGGAACTGGTGTAATCGTATCTCTGACTATCCATTATTATACTGTAACCCTCCAGGACTGGTGTCTCTCTGCTGACTATCCCTTTAGTACGTAACCCTCCAGGACTGGTGTATCTCTGACATCCATTTTATTACTTTACCCTCCAGGACTGGTGTAATCTCTGACTATCCTATTACTGTAAACCCTCCAGGACTGGTGTAGCTCTGACTATCCATTATATCTTTAACCCCGCCACGGACTGGTGTATCTCTGACTATCCTTATATACTGTAACCCCTCCAGGATCTGGTGTATCTCTGACTATCCATTAATACTGTAACCCTCGCAGGACTGGTGTATGTCTCTCTGACTATCCATTATATCATACTGTACCCCTCCGGACTGGTGTATTCTCTGACTATCCCTTATATACTCTGTAAACCCTCCAGGACCTGTGTAATGCTCTACTATCCATTATAATCCTGTCACCCTCCATGGACTGGGTGTCATTCCTGACATCCTTATATACTGTAACCCCCAGACTGGTGTATCTCTGACTTCCCATTATTACTAACGTAACCCTCCAGGACTGGTGTATCTATGACTACCCTTAGTACTGTACCTCAGGACTGGTGTAATCTTCTGAGCTATCCATTATACTGTAACCTCCATGACTGGTGTATCTCTGACTATCCATTATTACTGTTAATCCTCCAGGACTGGTGTATCCTGACTATCCATTATTACTGTAACCCTCCAGGACTGTGTATCTCGGACTATAAATTATATACCTGTAACCTCCGGACGGTGTACCTCTGACTATCCATTATATACTGTAACCTCCAGGACTGGTGTATCTCTGGACTATCCATTATTAATGTACCCTCCGGACTGGTGTATATCTGACTATCCTTATATACTGTAACCCTCCAGGAGCTGGTGATCTCTGACGTATCCATTATATACTGTACCCTCCAGACGGTGTATCTCTGACTATCCATATTCTGTAACCCTCCAGGACTGGTGTATCTCTGACTATCCTTAATACGTAACCCGCCAGGACTGGTGTATCTCTGACTATCCATTTATATACTGACTAGTAAACCCTCCAGGACTGGGTGTATCCTCTGACTATCCATATACTGTCCCCTCCAGGACTTGTGTATCTCTGACTTAGTCCATTATATAACTGTAACCCTACCCTCCAGACTGGTGTATCTCTGACTATCCATTATTACTGTAACCCTCCCAGGACTGGTGTAACCTCTGACTAGCCATGTATATACTGTAACCCTCCAGACTGGTGGTAATCTCTCTTGACTATCCATTATGACTGTAACCCTCCAGGACTGGTGTATCTCTGACTATCCATTATTACTTACCCTCAGGACTGGTTATCTCTGACTATCCATTATACTCTAACCGCTCCCAGGACTGATGTAATCTCGGACTATCCATATATAACTGTAACCCTCCAAGACTGTTGTATCTCTGCTATCCATGATATAACTTTACCCTCCAGGACTGGTGTATCTTCCTGAAACTATCCATTATATATGTAACCCCCAGACTGGTGTATCTTCTTGCTCTGACGAGCCATTATAGACTTGAACCCTCCCGGACTGTTGTATCTCTGACTATCCATTATATACGTAACCCTCCAGACTGGTGTAAATCTCTGACTATCCATTATATACTGTAACCCTCCAGGACTGGTTGTAAATCTCTTACTATCCATTATTAACTGTACCCCCAGACTGGTGTAATCTCTTACTAGCCATTATATCTGTAACCCTCCCAGGACCTGGTGTATCTCTGACTATTCCATTATATACTGTAACCCTCCAGGACTAGTGTAATCTCTGACGATCCATTATATACTGGAACCCTCCAGGACTGGGTAAATCTCTGACTATCCATTGATACTGTAACCCTCCAGGACTGGTTGATCCTCTGACTATCCATTAGATACTGTAACCCTCCAGGACTGTTGTATCTCTGACTATCCATTATATAACTGTACCCTCCAGGACTGGTGTATCTCTTGACTATCCATTATATAACTGTAACCCTCAGGACTGGTGTATCTCTGACTATCCATTTATATCTGTAAACCTCCAGGATGGGGTCATCTCTGACTATCCATTACAAAAATATACTGTAAACCCTCCAGGACTGGGTGTATCTCTGAACTCCCAGTATATACTGTAACCCTCCAGACTGATGTACTCTGACTATCCTTATGACTGTAACCCTCCAGACTGGTGGTCCTCGTGACTATCCATTATATACAGTACCAACCCTCCAGACTGGTGTACCTCTGACTATCCATTTATATACTGTAAAACCCTCCAGGACTGTGTGTTCTCGACTATCCATTAATACTGTAACCCTCCAGGACTGGTGTACCTCTGACTATCCATTATATAATGTAACCCTCCCAACCCTCCCGGACTGTGTCTCTCTGACTATCCTTATTACTGTACCCTCCAGGACTGGTGGATCTCTGACTATCCATTAATTACTGTAACCCTCCAGGACTGGTGTATCTCTGACTACCATTAATCTGTAACCCCTCCATACTGGTGTATCTCTGACGATCCATTAGTACTGTAACCCTCCAGCTGTGTTCCTGACTAGCCATTATTCTTTAACCCTCCAGGACTGGTGGTATCTCTGACTATCATTATATACTGTAACCCTCCAGGACTGGTGTATCTCTGACTATCCATTATATACTGTCCCCTCCAGGACTGGTGGTTCATCGCTGACTATCCATTATATACTGGTAAACCCTCCAGGACTGGTGTATTCTCTGCTATCCATTGATATACTGTAACCACTCCAGGACTGGTGTTACCTCTGACTATCCATTATATACTGTAACCCTCCAGGACTGGTGTATCTCTGACATCCATTATATACTGTAACCTCCAGGACTGTGTATCTCTTACTATCCATTATATACTGTAACACAACCCTCCAGACTGGTTGTACCTTTGACTGCCTATTACTGAACCCTCCAGGAACTGGTTACTCTGACTATCCATTATATACGGTAACCCTCCAGGACTGGTGTAATCTCTGACTATCCAGTAATATACGGTACCCCAGACTGGTGTAGCCTCTGACATCCATTATTACTGGTAACCCTCCAGGACCTGGTGTGATCTCTCTGACTCTCCTTATATTATATACTGTAACCCTCCAGGACTGGTGTATCTCGATATCCAGATATCTGTAACCCTCCAGGACTGGTGTATCCTGACTATCCAGTATATACTGTAACCCCTCCGCCTGGTTGTTCCTCTCACTATTCCATTATTACTTGGTACCCTCCATAGACGTGGTGTATCTCTTACTAGACATTTATACTGGAACCCTCCAGCTGGGTATCTCTCACGTCCAATTATTACTGTAAAACCCTCCAGGACTGGTGTATCGCTGACTTTCCATTAAGACTGTAACCCTCCAGGACTGGGTGTATCTCTGCTATCATTTAACTGTAACCCGCCAGGACTGGTGTATCTCTGACCTATCCATTTATACTGTAACCTTCCAGGACTGGTGTATCCTCGGACTATCCATTATATACTGTAACCCTGCCAGGACGGTGTATCTCTGACTATCCATTTATCCTGTAACCCTCCATGGACTGGTGTATCTCTGACTATCCATTATCTGTAACCCGTCCAGGACTGGTGAAGCTCTGACTATTCTTATTAGCTGAACCCTCCAGGCCTGGTGTATCTCTGACTCTCCATTCTATACTTAACCCGCCAGGACTGGTGTTGCTCGGACATCCATTATATACGGTAACCTCCAGGACTGGTGTATCTCTGACCTACCATTATATACTGTAACCCTCCGACTTGTGTTCTCTGACTTCCATTATTACTGTAACCCTCCAGGACTGATGTAGTCTCTACTATCCATTATATACTGTAACCCTCCAGACGGTGTTCTCTGACTCATCCATATTACTGTAACCCTCCAGGCCTGGTGTTTCTCTGACTATCATTATATACTGTACTCCCCCAGGACTGGTGTTCTTCTGAATATATCCCTTTTACTTGTAACCCGCCAGACTGGTGTATCGTCTGACTAACTTATATATCTGTAACCCTCCAGGACCGGGTTGGTATCTCTGACTATACCATTATTACTGTAACCCCCAGGACTGGTGTATCTCATGACCTAGCCCTTAGATACTGTAACCTCCAGGACTGGTGTACCTCTGACTAGCCATTATATACTGTAAGGCCCTCCCAGGACTGGTGTATCTCTCTGACTATCCATTATATACTGTAAACCCTCCAGGACTGGGTGTATCTCCTGACTATCCATTATAATACTGTAAACCCTCCAGGGACTGGTGTATCTCTGGCCTATCCATTATTACTGTAACCCTCCAGGACTGGTGTATCTCCCTGCACTATCCATTATATACTGTAACCCTCCAGGACCTGGGTGTATCTCTGACTAATCATTATATACTGTCAACCCTCCAAGGACTGGGTCTCTGACCAGGGACGGCCCTGTTCAATAGGGCGATATGGGCGACGCACTGGCCAAACGGAAAAGGAAGGGATTTTTTTTCTAATCAATTATATCACGGCAACAGTAGTTATCAGTGTTCTAATCTGATCTGACTGCCACTAAATGTCAAATCAGGCTAAAGTCGTGCTTCAAATGGCCCCGCCCGTTTTTGGGGCGATTTCAGTCAGGTTGAAAATCGCCCAGAAGTCTCTCATAGCCTGTCATGTAAAATCTATTTTTTTCAAATTTCAAAGCTTTCAGTACATTCTCTATGGGTGTCTGAGGGCTTGCACTTACGCGCTTTCGTCATACGTGACGTAACCATGAACGTAACTAAGAAAATAGCGGCTAGCAGCGTCTCTGTTGCGACCTGCAGTGTGGCGTTATCTTATGTTTTTAATTTGTACACTTAGTGGCGTTATTTTATGTTTTTAATTTGTACACTTAGTTTACAAACATTCTGCCAACCATGGATTTCCAGTGGTGGGTTTTGGACTGATCTTGTTGATCGTGTACATACCCGCTACGAACGGACTAAATAATGAAAACGCTGCTGGCAGCGGAATCCAATACAGCTGGGAGACTTGGCTGGATGACAGAGTCCCGGACAGAGAAGTGGAGCCGGCCGGCTTCACCCTGGTCAGAGCGGACCGCGATCTGACAGTCACAGGGAAAATCGATCCTGGTAAGAGAGCGACTCTGTACCCCCCGACATTGAACTGCTTTCTGTGTCACTGCGACCTTACTATCTGCCCCGTGAGTTCCCCCAATTGTTTGTTACCGTTGTGTACTGTTGATAATCACAAGTTTACTGGAGAACTGAGACCAAGTAGAGCCTTTGGACAGGGTGGATATGGTATAATAAAGGCAGTTTATTCAGAGGTAAAGATATCTGGAATCGCGTGCACGGATTCGTTCGTCAAACTCTTAGGGAGCTATCTGAAGAGAGCCCCGAAAACATTGTGTGCAGACATTTTATACAATAAATTATGTAGGTTGAATTTAGTAGTTCTGATCTTCTGATTGGTCCTGATGAGTTGGGCGAGGTCCCCTCCACTGTTGCATTGGCTCTGAGTCGGGTTCTCTGTCTTCAAATGTTCAGCCTAAAGAGAGGGGATTTTTGTGTGTGTGTGTGTGTGTGTTTAACAGTGATGATGTGTGTGTGTGTGTGTTATCAGTGATGATGTGTGTGTGTGTGTGGTGTGTGTGTGTCCTCAGAGCAAGAACTCGTGAGTTGGAAGAACTGAGAGACCTATGGCGTGGGTGTTGTCCTTGGCCACCTGCTGACAAGGCTGACAAGATAGGACTCTTTTGTCCATTGTTATAGGATAGGAACAGCATTGATTGAAAACAAACGCCCAACACAAAATGGGTCATGCACAAGATTTTAGTCAGACCAAGCTATAACATTATATATTTACTACGACAGTACATTCAACCAAAAGCTAATATAACAAAGGCATCAGAGATTATTTATAATCTGTCACAGAAACTGGAATCCATCTCCCCAGATCAGTCAATAAATGCTTCTGGTATTGACTTATATGCTGCCCCTGTCTTCATGTTGTTGCTGGACATATCTTTTTTAAAATGTGTGTAGGTCACCTAAATCATCAGAAAAATTGCCCCTCCTGAGAATTTTTTCAGGAGCCGCCACTGTCTCTGACTATCCATTATATACTGTAACCCTCCAGGACTGGTGTATCTCTGACTATCCATTATATACTGTAACCCTCCAGGACTGGTGTACCTCTGACTATCCATTATATACTGTAACCCTCCAGGACTGGTGTATCTCTGACTATCCATTATATACTGTAACCCTCCAGGACTGGTGTATCTCTGACTATCCATTATATACTGTAACCCTCCAGGACTGGTGTATCTCTGACTATCCATTATATACTGTAACCCTCCAGGACTGGTGTATCTCTGACTATCCATTATATACTGTAACCCTCCAGGACTGGTGTATCTCTGACTATCCATTATATACTGTAACCCTCCAGGACTGATGTATCTCTGACTATCCATTATTACTGTAACCCTCCAGGACTGGTGTATCTCTGACTATCCATTATATACTGTAACCCTCCAGGACTGGTGTACCTCTGACTATCCATTCTATACTGTAACCCTCCAGGACTGGTGTATCTCTGACTATCCATTATATACTGTAACCCTCCAGGACTGGTGTACCTCTGACTATCCATTATATACTGTAACCCTCCAGGACTGGTGTATCTCTGACTATCCATTATTACTGTAACCCTCCATGACTGGTGTATCTCTGACTATCCATTATTACTGTAACCCTCCAGGACTGGTGTATCTCTGACTATCCATTATATACTGTAACCCTCCAGGACTGGTGTATCTCTGACTATCCATTATTACTGTAACCCTCCAGGACTGGTGTATCTCTGACTATCCATTAT